GAAAATGGAGCTATTCGTTCGAAAAAACATCGTCATGCATTTTTACAGTTGCATGTGTCTGAGTATGAAAGATCTGGCTGGGGTAAGGTTTATATATCATCAAGACGAAGTGGTAACAATTTTCTATGGAACTTCGAAAACAACCAGTTAACATCTCAATACAAAAATTTGAAGTTAGATGTAAAATATAGTCACACGTATGACGGAGCACTTGTTGGCGTTTACCCAGGAACTGGGTATATGAATCAAAAATGGAGTCTTAGTTTGAACAGATTTTATTTCATTATAACAAGCAGACATTCCGGCAAAGTTTTGGATGCAAGTCTTGACGAAAGTAGCACTGGTAAAGTTATCTTATGGTCATATCATGGCAAGGATAACCAATTATGGTTTTGGGACGATGACAATATTAGATGCAAACAATTTCCGGAAAAAGTACTTGACCTCCATATGGCAAATTATGAGGCAAACAACTGGGGCAAAGTTTTCCTACATCCTTACAACACGGGTAACAATCAACGATGGAAAGCTGAAGGTGACCAGATAATTTCAAGTTACAAAAACTTACGCTTAGATGTTAAGCAAAGCAGTACTTCTGATGGAGAGTTGGTAGGAGGATACAGAAATCACGGAGGAGTAAATCAAAGATGGACCTTTTCATCTTCAAGGCCATACTTTTTTATATTAAACAAAGAATCTGGAAAAGTAATGGATGCTGTAAGTCCAGCATCAATTAAACTATGGCACTACACTAACAGTGATCAGCAGTTATGGTTCTGGGATGGTGAGGTAATACGAAACAAAAAGTATGCTAACAAAGTAATTGACCTTCATATGTCAGACTATAACAAATATCGGTGGGGGAAAATTTTTCTGCACCCATTTAACGGCGGACAGAATCAAAGATGGGACTTTGAGAATAACTATCTTTCATCTGAATTTAAACATCTAAGTGTTGAAGTAAAGGATGGGAGCCAAGCAGATGGATCTCAAATAGGTGCAAAGAATGGAAAATACCAAAAGTGGAGTTTACAACCAGAACATGACTTCTTCACTCTGTCAAGCGGAATGCATGCTAAGGTCTTAGATGCACCCTCTGACACTAAGGTGCACATTTGGCCATTTCATGGATTAGATAATCAATTGTGGTTCATGGACGAAACAAGCATTAGATCAAAGAAATACCCAAACAAGGTCCTTGACCTGCATATGGAAAACTACAAAAAGCGTGGTTTTGGTGATGTTTTTCTCCATCCTTTTCATGGAGGACCGAATCAGAGATGGAAACTTGAAGGGGATAATATCATTTCTTATTACCAAGGCTTACGGTTAGACATAAAACAAAGTAATTATGACGATGGAGCGCTGGTAGGTGGATACAGAAACACTAGTAATATTAACCAGAAATGGAGCATGAATCCAAAAGAAAGGATTTACTTCATAATAAAAGGAAAGGCAAGTGGAAAAGTTGTAGACGCCGCAACTGATACAAAGGTTCATCTTTGGCCCTATCATGGAAAGGATAACCAGTTATGGTTTTGGGATGGAAATTGCATCAGATCCAAACAACATCCAAATAAAGTCCTAGATTTACGTATGACTGATTATGAGAGGGACGGATGGGGGAAAATTATTCTACACGTTTACAATGCTGGACCAAATCAGCGTTGGAGCATTGATGATGAATTTATTATTTCAAAATATCGCCAACTTAGAATGGATGTATTTCGTGGTCGTACAAGTAAACGTTCATTAGTTGGTGGCTTTCCGTACACCGGAAATGACAATCAAAAATGGATCGTTACTGTGCATCAGACGTCAAAGAAGGACTCAAGCTGTTTAGATGAGACAGAATCAGACATATACAATGTTGTTCAGTATATTCCACTTGTCGGAACTCTTTGGGATCTATTTTCGTCCATTGGTTATGCTAGTGCTGGATGCACAAGTGTTGCAGAAGAAAGAGCCATATCTTTTGCAATAGGGGCTGCTTTGGATGTTGCAACAGCATTGACGGGGGGTGCTGTTGCAGGTGCAACAACTGCTGCGAAGACGGCTGTGAAAGTCGGTATAAAGCTTGGAGTGAAGCAAGGAATGAAGGCAGCGGTTGTTGTAACTAAACAATCTATTAAGAACGTTTTCAAAAAGGTAGCCAAGCAAGGGTTCAAGACTGCTGTAAAGAAAGGCGTCAAAAAAAGTGGAAAATTAGTGATCAGAGAAGTAATTGTCGATCCTGCATTATTTCTGAAAAACGTAGGAAAGTTAAGCAAGAAAATGTTGCTCCATCCGAGGAGGACATTAAAAGGAATATGGAAAAGAGCGGGTCGTAACATTGATGATCTGAAACGTCTCGTGAAGCGTTTGAAAGATGATCCTTCTTTACCGAAACTAAGATGTAAACGTGGTAGTGTTAGCAGTTGCCCAAAACGTGCATCAGCTTTTTACGGTACAAAAAAACACGAAAATATGGTCGAATCACTTGCTGGTGAAAAAGCTGTATCAGAACGTGTGGAGCGTAGTGCGCGGAGATTTATGACAAAGAAGTCCGGAAAAGCAGAGAAAGCTCGAGAAAGTGTTAAGCAAAAATTTAACGCTGCTGGTTCTGAAGTTGATAAAGCTGAAATATTGGCGGTTTACCAATACACAAAAGAAGCAGGCCATATCAACAGCTTTTTAGGAAATATTAAAAAAAGGCAGCCTTTGCTTAGAGTAAGTGATCCAATTACTAAAGAAACAAAGAGAGGATTATTGGATTCTGTAAACGAGGCGTTTGATCAGGCTGATTTAATTCAGAGTTACGTGAAGAAAAATCCTATAAAAAAAGAGATAAAAGTTTACAGATGGGAGCAAGCTATTGAAGAATATAAAGACGGTTCAATTTATGAAACATACACTTTTAAGTCTACAACAACACGAACTGAGAGGTTTAAAGACCGCGGCTTAGATCTGACAAATGAACAAAAGTACCCAATTGAAATGGTATTCAAGTTGAAAAAATCCGGAACAAAAATAGCCGACTTGTCCGCCTATCCGAGTCAGGAAGAATACTTGATTCCGATTGGAACGCGATTCAAAGTGAAGGTGGAAACGCCTAAACCTGGATCAACGGTTCAACGAGTCACGTTAACAGAAATCGTTTAAATATCAACTGTGCTGTATAACTTTTTATCAAACAAAAACTACAGCTTACATAATCAGCCACTTCGTGATCGTAAAATATGTTTTCCATTCTGTCAAATTTCGTGTCTGAATTTGAAAACTAAATAGTAATATTTACATATACACATTGACACCCTGTTTGATTCAGTTGTTTCTGTGGCTCCTTTTTCTAATTCTCAAAAGTGTTATGAAAAGTTTCAAAACTGAAACAACTACGACTCTTCGGAGCACAGGAATGGCCCATTTAACAGTTGCAGGTAGAAACGTGGCTGGAGTTGAAAATGCTTTGATACAACCCTTTCTTGTTTTATTATGTTAATCACTTTTTTCTTATGCTAACTGGTATTTTTAAAGCAAAATCTCCATAAGAAAACGGAGGTTTGAATAAAAACCAGGTGAAGATAAGTCTCACGTTCATTCAAACGCTAGGATACTATGCCGAAAATTGTATAATGGTCTGTTGCGATTATTTGATTCTTAAATTGGAAATTGTGACCTTTACAAGTTTCTCTTTATCTTGTTGAATGAGCTGTAAAAGAAAAGTGTAATCTAACCCTCGGACGTAAAAGAGGGGGTGGTTGCCACCCCCTCTGAGTTATTTTTTATTTTTTTTCCTAGACGATAAAACATATATCAGCATCTGACGTTTTCAGCAGCTGTTTGTTTATCC